TCCCGAACACATATCACCAACTAATTATTTCGCCCACAATCCCTCTGTTGGGTCGTTGCTTCGCATTCTAACATGTATTATTTTTTCAACTGCAGATTCTGTCCACTTTTCAACGTCACATCGTCAACCGAGCTCTTCAGCTGATCGAAATTACTGAAGACATGGGCAACTTCGTTCAGGCGATCTCTGACCTTTGTTTGCCTCCTGTTTGTTTGGCAGAACCCCTGCGGTTGGCCTCACAGGTGAATCTCGATATATATAGCTACGCCTTTTTCCACAATAAATTCCCTACTGTAAGTGTGGTGACTGCTCTCTCGTTCCCTTCGCAAGGCAGAAGAAATGGTTATCAAAAAGCCGGCTGCAACCGTCTTCAGGATTCTGCGCCAAAATCTCGCCATTTTCCTGACCTGGGCACATTTCTCGGAGGATCTGGTAAAGAAGGGTGCCTCCAGTTCGATGATAGTATCCGAACTCAACAAGCTGTTGCCTGAAGTAAGCCTGATTTGTCAACATATATTTTGGTTAGGCCAGCATCTGGCAATTTCCGCTGGCTAAAGTAGTGGTCTGTTTCTTTAACTAACCTATAGCCGTGTTTGTCCCTCGCCAATGTCATGGCGGGTACTTCTTAAAACATCGGTTTTTTAGCAGAAACTGCGCGACTTCGCTTTTTTAACCAAACTTTGGGAGACCTAGTGACCACCACCACCAGGACAGCACAGTTGTGCCGTCTTCTTACTGAAGGGGGAGGGGCTTCAAGGAGTCGCCACTCCAAATAACACCGTCTGTTGTAACAGCAAGCAAGTAGCTTTCTTTATTTCCGCGCGAACGACAGCTCTCCCCCCCCCACAGAGCTTTCTTACCTACATTCCTCGTTGTTTATTTTTATTTTAGCGCGTTCTTGTGGCTAAATGGTTTGCCAGATTTTCAAAAACTCTTCAGACTGAGCAAACTGACCAAGATCTACTCGCTTATCAGGTCTCCCGCAAAGCTGAGCCCGAAACTGAGGCCGATGGTAACCTGTCCTAGCGTCTGTAACCCTTCTATTTTTTAGCAGAGGCTGTCGTTGAAACGTCTCCAAAGCAGCTAACGGATAAAGAAGAGATATCGATGCTGCCAAAAGGTTTTGCCCCATTTTACGTCTTATCTTAACCTCCAAATAGGCATTCAAAAAACCATGCTCGCTTTACTGGGGCTTTCCAGGGAACCTTCTCAACCCCTATCTGAGAAACATTTCAAAAGACTGACTAAAAGGTGGCCCGAGCTTGTTGAGTGTCTGGAGTGAGTTTCCATCCCGCGGTCTACTTTTGTCCTATCTCCTAATTCTGGTTGCGGCCTACCGTGCTGAGCTGTTACTTCTTTTCGATTGCAGTCATCAGTACACCATTCCGGTCGTTTATACCTGCCTGTCCGCTGGTATTCGGTTCCTGTCTTCGCCTGAAAATCGTGAGCGAGTTGGCTGGGCTTCTTTCAATCACAAGAACACAGCGGCAGAGGAGGTCTTGTTGCCCACACCCAAGACAATCCTAAAATCTCTGGCAAAGCGGCCAGAAGTATTTTCTCACCTTTTGGGTCGCGGACACGTGGATGATGAGGAAGGAGAAGTTTCGGGAACTCCCCCTCCCCCAACAGACCCCTCACGCCTGAAAGGTTTGCGTAGAGTTCACTGTCTTTCGTTTTTTGCTTCTGTTGTCAAGGTTGGGTACTATGTTGTAGTCGCTCTCTGTTTCCAGTGACATCTCGCAAAATAACGGGGGTCAGACACTATCCACAGAAGGTCGCGCTCATGGATCGCTTTCAAGGCACAGTCGTCCCTTTGTGCCTC